TGATCTGGAGACTATGAATCTGGGCAAAAGGTTAACTATGTGTCATGCGTTAGCTTAACGTACTCTGTCTTTGTGTGAGTGCAAATGGTGATGACCTCATCCAGTAAACATGCTAAACATTTATCACTAAGCACAGATCAATGAACATCTCATTGTTTAATAATTGCAACATTTAATAATTATCTTTAGGTCTAAAATCTTCTTTCTTCTGGGAATAAAGGAGTTCATTTAAAAGAGTTTATCTGTGTTGGACCTTGGAGGAGAGAATGTAATTGTTTATCTTTATTATCTCTGTCAGGCTGTGATTCCAGCTGGTGTGAGGAAGCAGGCTCTGATTTAAAGGGACTACGTGCAGACTTCCAGTCTCCTGTGAGGGGAAAATACTGTAGGTTGTGTCATAGCCGGGTTAAGTTGACCTGGCTGTAGATCTTGACCTGTGGGTTTCATTTCAGGCCATTTCGTGACGTTACAGTAAACAATGGGAAATTACTATTTTTCACACAACTACACTTATCAACCTTCAAGATTTTTGTTATGTTATCCTATGAACCTTTTATTCTTTAACGACACACAGTAACAAGTCTCAAACAAATTGTTCTTAGACTGTTACAATTGAATTTACCTTCTGATTTTTCCCTCTAAAACATGTTTAGTCTCTTATAATTATTAAAACACATAAAACATGATTCCTTCCTTACTAATTAATCATTTACTTGGACAATTCTAGAGATTCATAATGTAATTTTGTCATTACTTATCTTTAAACTTATAATCATCTCAGTTTAATCACACAACTGATCCTTGGGATGTGACAATCCCTTCATAAAATCATTCCTTTTGATTACACATTACATAAAGACATACTTATGATTGTTTTTATCAGCTTTTAAGCAGAAAAAGTCTTCGGCTGCATCTGCATGTGCTCTTCCTCCTTATGTCATGGGAGAAGGGGTCTCAATTCACTTCGACACCTTCTTTACTTGATGTTAGAGTAAAACAAAAAGATGCTGTGGCTTCTTAAGGGATAAAAAAATATTTAGGTCACTCATGTTTACTGGCTCAGGATCTTTACAAAATACAGCAGTGTTTTGCTGGTATTTTGTCCCATTCCTCTGTAAAGATCTCCTCTAGAGCAGTGATGTTTTGGTGTCGTTGCTGGGCAACACAGACTTTCAACTCCCTCTAAAGATTTTCTATGGGGTTGAGATCTGGAGACTGGCTAGGCCACTCCAGGACCTTGAAATGCTTCTTATTAAGCCACTCCTTCGTTACCCTGGCGGTGTGTTTGGGATCATTGTCAGGCTGAATGACCCAGTCAAGTTTCATCTTCAATGCATAAATGCATTATGGAAGCAGGTTTTCACTCAAACTCTGACAATACATGGCCCCATTCATTCTGTCCTTTACATGGATCAGTCATCTTGGTCCCTTTGTAGAAAACCAGCCCTAAAGCATGATGTTTCCACCCCCATGCTTTACAGTAGGTATGGTGTTCTTTGGATGCAACTCAGCGTTCATTCTACTCCAAACATGACGAGTTGAGTTTTTACCAATAAGTTCTATTTTGGTTTCATCTGACCATGTGACATCCTCTAAATCCTCTTCTGGATCATCCAGATGCTCTCTAGCAAACTTAAGACAGGCCTGCACATGTCCTGGTTTAAGCAGGGGGACATGTCTGGTGTCTGTGTCACGTTGAGAGCAGGAGGTTTGGACCCAAGATGCAGAATCCCCAGAACAACTCGAGGCAGGAGTGGTTAAGAAAATAAATTCCTTTATTTTAAGGAGGATGTGCCGAAATTCAAAGGCAAAAAATAAGATAAACTTTCAAAAACTCACTGAAAACTCAAAAACAAACAAAAGCTCACACATGAGCACAGACTCGGTAAACTCGAGAGGGGAACAAGCAACGCAGACACATACGACAATGAACCAACAAACACAGAGTGACAAGACAGGGCTTAAATAGACTGGGAGGATGAGAGGGAGATGAATTGCAGGTGTGTGGGGAGAAGGACCAGGTGAACACAATTACCAACTCAGGGAGGAGGAAGAAAACACTGGTGGGAAAAAAACACACTAAATAATGAAAGGCTGTAACAAAGGAAAATGACCTAAGAGAAAAAACAAAAGACCAGAAGGCATGAACCATAACTAATATTCTAAGGGGAAGCTGACACTAAGGAAAACACTACAGAAGGAAACTACAGGGGCGTGGTTAAGAGGGGGGAAACCTAGAGGGCAAATGGGGAAACAGGACCAAAGGAGGACAGATAAACCTAAAACTACAAATCCAAACTAAAAGGCTGCGGGAAGGACTAACACACACACACACACACACACACACACACACACACACACACACACACACACACACACACACACACACACACACACACACAGACATAAATAACTCACACACACATATACTGAGCTGGGGAACAAGAGGCTGGAGCCTCAACTGGAGGGACAGAGGATAACTAAATGAACACCGGACCTGAGGGAATGATAAAAAGGCCTACAAACAGAAGACACACAACAGAGATGCAGACAAAGGGCACATGAGGGCGCTAAGAGAACACAAAAGGGAATCCAGAGAGGGATGGAGAAACATTAGGAGACACATGGGGAAAGACGCAGACAAAGAACACATGAGGGCGCCATGAAACACAAAAGGAGAACCTGGAGTGGGAACTGGAGGGGCTGGGGAACAAAGGGACACAGAACATGACAGTCTGGTCTAGTGTGTTACTGATGGTAGTCTTTGTAACTTTGGTCCCAGCTCTCTGCAGGTCATTCACGAGGTCCACTCGTGTAGTTCTGGGATTGTAGCTCACTGTTCTTGTGATCATTTTGACCCCACAGGGTGAACTCTTGTGTGGAGCCCCTTACTGAGGGAGATTATCAGTGGTCTTGTATGTCTTCCAATTTCTAATAATTGCTCCCACAGTTGATTTCTTCACACCAAGCTGCTTTTATATGGCAGGTTTACAATTTTGTTTCTGGTGTCCTTTGACAGCTCTTTTGTCTTGGCCATAGTGGAGTTAGGAGTGTGACTGTTTTGGGTTTAGGACAGGTGTATTTTATAGTGATGACGAGTTCCAACAGGTGCTATAATACAGGTAACGAGTGCAGGACAGAGGAGCCTCTTACAGAAGAAGCTACAGGTCTGTGAGAGACAGAAATATAGCTTGTTTGTAGGAGACAAAATACTTTTCCACCATAGATCTCAAAGAAATTCATTAAAAATCAGACAATGTGATTTTCTGGAAATATTTTTTTGTTATTTTGTCTCTCATAGTTGAGGTATACATATGTTGAAAATTACAGATTACAGACCTCTCTTATCTTTTTAAGTGGGAGAACTTGCACAATTGGTGGCTGACAAAATACTTTTATGCACCACTGTACAAGGTGTCACATGGTCTTGTTCCATCACCCATGTCTGACTATATTAAAAAAAATCACAGTGGTCTCAAGAGGACCAGGGTTGCTTCTAGAGAGGTCCCATAAAGAAAAACAGTCTTGACAAAAGGCTCTTAGTGAAGACAAGTAAGATGCTCGCATCCAGTATCAGGGACCATGGAGGAATGGGTGGAGATGGGGTGAGTTTGGGAGGATGGATGAGTCAACATAAGGTAAAAGCTCACCACATGGTGATACTAAACACACAAGTCTTTACCCTGCAGGGCCTGCATGTGCCTGATGTGACTCAAATACTCCACGGTAGGCAAACTGAGGACCACTGCTCAACTCCATTATCAACACATCATGATCAGACTCTGAAACATGTGGATTATTACAATATGTTCAACACACCCTTGAATAGGGTGACTCTAATCTTGGAAACATCATTTAAATTATATTAAAGGAAAAATCGCAAAATCTGTGTGTCTAAAGTAAAGGACTCATTAAACTCTAAGGCTTTGCGTTTATAACGTTGCTCACTAATTCAACCTTACATGTCATATTGTATAGAAATATGGGGTTCAACATTTAAAACACACATAAATGAAATAAAAACTACAAAAAAAGCAATTCGATTTATAAATAAGAGTATTTATTATGCTCATACGGATCTGTCATTTTTAAAATCACAGATTATGAAAATAGAGGATCTATACTGTTATAAAATTATGCAAATTATGTTTAGAGCTCAATTAATGTCTCTCCCTGAGAAAGTACAAAGGTTTTTTGCAAAGAGAGAGAGAGTAATGATGTTTGTTGTACAGAAAGCTGAGAAAGATATTAAAAGGAGATGTATCTCTATAATGGGAGTAAAAGTCTGGAATGAGGCTAAAATAGAATGTAAATTAACAACTACACTTTCTGTTTTTAAAATACTTATCAGTAAAAATATTTTTGATTACTATTCATTTGAATTTGTTGGATGTGTTTTTGTTTATACATTTTGTTATCGTCACATTGGGGGAATAAAAAACGGATTAAGTAGGTTAGGCAATATTATAAGCTTTTGCTTCTGCCTAAACCTGTTCAGTCATGAAATGTTCAAAAGTGAATGTGATTGTATGGGAAATGTGTAGACACTAAAATAGATACGATATACAAGTATGTGAATATACTGTATATGTTTGTGGAGGTATGGAAATATATGGATTTATACGTATGATATGTTGCTGTCTACACGAATTACTATTTTTGATGATAATGACTGAATAAAATTGATCATTCATTCATTCATTCATTCATTCATTCATTCAATAGGAGAATGACTGCTGCTTCCCAAGTGAGATTATTATATTGAAGTCCTTGCTGCTAATCTGATTTGACAGTGAATTAGGTGCCAGCAGGAAAACACAACAATACCCTTTCAAAGAAAATAAGAAACTTAGAGGTGTTTGTAGTATCAGTTGTCCCAGCAAATATAGAAAAGTAATAATTCACCTCCAGAAATGTAGTTATTTATAAAAAAAGTTAAATGAAAACACTGTGAGTGAGGACTGACTTCCTCACGAGCTCACCAGTGATCAAACACAGGCTCTGATTTCATTGTGGTTTATTTGCACTTAAATCATGTGATGAAGAGTTGCAGGGGAAACAAACCCGAGATAAAGAAATTCAATGTGACGACACATTGTTCAGCACCAAAGTACGTTTGAAGGGGGCAGACGCTACAGGGTGTACTAAAGCTAAAGGGTTGTGAGACATTTATTCACATGTGAATTTAAATTAAGTCAAAATGACAAAGAAAACAGAAACTGAAACATTTTCCTGTTTCTAAACAAACTTTCAGCATCAGAAGGTATTTGATCCATGAACTAACGTCTCGGTTTATCCTTCACAGTGGTCTGCTACAATCAGAACATTTACACCCCGAAACATGACGGAGAAATGACAACATGTTGTAATCTATTAAGATTACTAATCTTTAAGGGTTTTGGTTGTGAAAATTTGTTTTGCTCTTTGAGAAGATTATATTTCTAAGAAAGCAGTTGTGCTTGATTAAGTAGTTTTATTTGAAATCGTCCTAGATGAGAAGTCACAGCTGAGGCTCATTCACATGTCGAGGGCTGGAAAAGAAACTCATTCTGCTTTATTTGTGTAAACAAGATCGGAAATGCAAATCTGACAGTGGTGAATCACTAAAGGGAGACCTCGTTCTTCTTTATGAACTCAGTAACATAAATAAACATAAACAAAACTATATAAAAAGAAAAGCTTGGCTTATTTTCTTCATCAATAACAACATATTTAATTCCTGACATATCAAAGCCACTTCCTCATCCCAGAAATCACGTTTCATTCACCATGGCTCGCAGCAGAAAGACATTTTTTGATGCAAAATTATGGAAAAAGGCATCTAAATAGTACACGATACAAGTGCAAAGTTGTATTGTACAGTGAGGTAACACAATTGCATCATAACATGATCCCAAAACCAAAGTAAATCCACGGCAGCTTGTTTTCATCGGGTGCTCATATCTGAATGACATTTGGGAGCTAATACCACTAGACAAATGTTTTCGTGTAATTCTGTATTATTATGATTACTGATTCACAGTACTAAATAACTGCTTTGTTTAAAAACAAATCGTTAAAATAAACAAAAAAATATATAAATAAAAACAAGCTTTCTTGCATGGACAACTCATTTTCCTCAGCCTTCTTTCTTCGTCCTCATGTCGCAGCCGTCTGACTATTTACCAGATCCCACTGGATCTTCCTCCAGGAGGAGCCAGGATCCGAGCCGAGGATCTCTTTGGAATGTTGTCATCGATCTGAGCACCTGGAGCGGCAGGGAACATGACCACAAAGGTTCAGCAGTTCCACACAATCATCTACACACTAATGAATGACTCACGGGATTAGTGTGTGAAGCTTAAAGAACAAGTCACCCCCTGCCAGATTCTTACTCAACTCTCACTTCCTGTTTGAAAAATGCAACAAATGCTGTTGCCTAGCAGACCGAGACACACACACACACACACACACACACACACACACACACACACACACACACACACACACACACACACACACACACAAATTAAATATATACATAATTTTATTATATATATATATATATATATATATATATATATATATATATATATATATATATATATATATATATATATATATATATATATATATATATATATATATATACATATATATATATATATTTATATATGATATGTGTGTATATGAGTATTGCCAACCTAGAAAAATGTTTGCCCCTCTTCTGCCACCCCATAAATAATTTTGTAGATCCGCCCCTGGTCTCACTCTCCAAAGAAAAGTCTAAGTCTGTAGAAAAGTCCAAAGTCAAAGCAGAGTAAGCAGCTTGTGAACTGGGGGGAAGTGGAGACCAATCCAAAATGACGGCTGGCAACTATGGCAGCGCCAGTCCACGGGGCGTCTACGTATACATATATATATATATATATATATATATATATATATATATATATATATATATATATATATATATATACATATTATTCTCTCGAAATACAAGTTAACAAATAAAAAAAAATAAAAAATGTATGTCTCAAGTTTGGAGACTTGAGCAATGGCAGATCCACCAAAGTGAACCAAAACCAGAATGTGTTTGTTTGGTTCTGCGAGTTGGAAAACAGCCAGTAAACATGCCTCTTATGCGTCACCAAGAGATTTGATTTTACAACAGTAAACGACATTCCGCAGCAAGCCTTAAGAGGGCGACCGAGAGCATATACCCGCAAAGTTCAGGAATGTGTCTTTAAAACCGTTTGTTTTATGCTCATAATCCCTAAAATCAAACCCTGACAGAAAATGGATAAATGTTTTAGAATGTTTATAGAGGCAGTCGTACCCACATGGCAGCACAAAAGGATGCAAAAAGTGAGTTTTGCAAAATGATATATGATGTGTAATGTACTTCATACCAGCTTGTTGCTGAGTAGGTTTTATCTGCTTTTATGATTTTATGTAATGAAACGCACTAATCCTTTGCTGTATTATAGTTTGTTTTGTTGTACAGCACTTTGGGACAGTATGCTTAAAATTTGCTAGAGAAATAAACTTGACCTTGAACTTGCAGAGGTTAACACAATTTTTAAAAGTTAAACCAACTTATTTTTAGAGTGTTTGTATGGACGTGCAGCTCTGAACAGCTTCTGCTCTCAGCAGATTTCAGTCATTGTGCATCAGGATGTCTAAAATGTTGGAATGTTCTCATCCTCACCAGACAGGCTGAAGCTGGACTCATGGAGGTCCCTGACCCCCCCGTGCCGGGTGCAGGGGCGTGTTGGGGTGTCCAAATCTGAAGCTCCCTGATCCCTCCTCCCTGAATTCACCATGGCAACAACGTCCCCTGTGTAAGGTTCTCTCTCGACTGCTTTTACCGCCTGGCTCTGGATGAATAAAGCATCAAATAACACAAAAGTTAAAGCAGAATGATGACTGACAAAACAAAATGCTGCCAGAGAAAGTCAAAATGAAGCTCCTCTAAGCCGTTTAAAGTCTGATACCTTTTCCCTCTGAACCATCTTCTTGTAGAGGTGATCTGGGAAAGTCCTCAAAGGGCAGAACTTTCCAGAACCTTCGGCACATGTGAACATGCCATTTTCATACACCAAACGTCCACGGCTGATGGTAACCAGGGGAACGCCATGACAACGGAGACCTTCATATAAGTTTATATCTCCTCCCTGGAACTGGTTTTCCACTGAAATAGTCCTGCAGGGATCAGATGGAGATGACCCAGTTCAGTCTGAGGAAAAGCTGGAGGCTGGAGATAAAGGCAGCTCAGAGACGAGCTGGTCGACAAATACATTGATTGAGTTTCATACTTGGATCCCTCGGGGTCCCAGACCACCACATCAGCATCTGCTCCGGGGATGATCCTGCCCTTCTGGGGGTAGAGGTTGTAGATCTTGGCTGCATTTGAGCTCGTGATTGCAACAAAGCGATTCTCATCTATTTTACCTCCAATCTGTGAAAGACCACGTGCTTCTAATTCACCTTGTTCATAAAATTATGAATAAAATTCAAAAATGCAATGAAAAAATGTTCACGTTGAAAGCTGATGTATTTTGTTTGCATTCATTGCTTTAGAAGTTCACATGCACAACCACTAAACCACATGGGACAATTCTCTGGAAGCGAGGCACAAACATACCACTCCTTTCTCCCAGATCACACTCATACGGTCCTGAATTCCAGGAAGTCCATGCGGAATCTTTGTGAAATCATCCTTGCCCATTGCTTTCTGTTTGATGGTGAATGGACGGTGGTCAGACGCCAGAACGTTCAACGTGTCACTAATAGGAGTTTAGAGGAGACAAAATGTAGTCACAAGCACATCTGCATCAGAAGGTTATGGCATTTGTTAACTCCTCCTCACTTTCCAAGCAAACTCATTAGGAAGTTTGGAGTGTTGGGATCCAGACGGAGAGGAGGCACAGTGACGTGAGCAGCAGCGTGAGACCAGTCCTGGTGGTAGTACTGCATGCCAGTCAGGACAGTGTGGGCCGTGGTTGTCTCCCCATGGACAACCTTACCTGTGAACATGAAGGTAAAAGTAAATGAATGTTTTTTTTGGTCCGGTTATGTTTAGCTGCAGGTAAGGAAGTCAGCCACACCTTGCATTTTGGCTGAAGCTACAACATCTCCTGCAGACATGCTGGAAACGCTGACAAGATAAATTGGGCAGTGAGCCTGAAGAAAAATAAAACAACGTGGTAGCAAGTTTTAAAACTGCTCAGTGGGCCTGTAAAGAGAACAGGTTGGATTTAAAGCGGTGCGTCACTCACCCTGTTGGCGATTGTAATGGCCCTGTGGGTTGCCTCTGCTTCCAGCTGCATAGAATCAACATTATGAACAATAAATCAGTATTTATTCTGACAAAGATAAAACTTAAAACAAAAAAATGTACTAAAGAGCAGTTTTGATTCTGAGAGACTTACCTCTTCAGGCCGGCTGATTTCAATCCCCTCAGGGCCGCTGATGCCCAGGTCTAACGCTTCCTTTGCACCCTGAGAGGAATAAAAGCCAAAGTGAATCACCTATAAATCAAGGATAGTCCTTTAATTTATCAGTCAATAAATGCACACAAACACTCCCTCACCTCTCCCACCAGCTCGCCATTCTCAGCGTGGACCCGTGCGACAGCACCGATGTCCTTACAGTGGAGCAGAGCCTGGAAGAGCTCCCGATCCCTCAGCATGAACGACTCCTTATAGGCCATGAACATCTGGAAGGAATTCACTCCTTTCTCCCTCACAAGCTTCTCCATCTCAGCTTGCACCTGATGGACAGGAAGTAGAAATGAGCTCCCGCTCATCACCTCGCACAGCAGTTTTGGATTTTAGCAAATGATCGTGAGGGGTGGTGGAATGAGTTTGCTATTCTTGCTGTGCTGTTATTAATACAAATAGGTGAAGCAGGAATAAAAAAGAAGCACAAAAGTCCCATTTGAAGCTATTTTAGGCTTTAAATTTTGCAGCAAAGACACACGCTCCTTCACTTTATACCCTGATCATAATTGGTTTAGGGCTAAATGCAAACAAATGACAGCATGTGGTGAAACAAAGGACTACCGGAAGAGGGACATGTTATGCTGGGGTACCTTGGGTCCCCACCACGTGACTCCGACGTGCAGAGCGTAGTCACAGCAGCTTTTGGAGTCCGCCGAGCTACGACACTTCTCGTAAGCTTCCAGCAGAGACTCGTTTTTCTCGGGCAGAACGTGTCCGATCACCATCGTAGTCCCTCCAGCTAAAGCAGCCTGGGGGGAAAAAAAATATCAAACAATAACAGTTAACATGAACCCTTTTCATTTATTATGATGAATATAAATTCACGTTTTTATTAAATTCTTTAAAATTTTTGTTTTGACGGGGTTAAACGAACCTGTACTTTACAGCCTACCGATTTTATTTTTAAATCTCAAAAGCAGATTTTTTTTCTGCAGCACAGCTTCATAACTCCAAGAGGAGCAGACAGAGTGTGTTTTGTGTATGAGTGCATGCTCCAATGAGCATCTGGCAGCTGACCCCGGAGACAGCTGAGCGCTGGTTAGGAGAGGGGTGTTGGTCTGAGCGCCATTGTTTCTCGGCACAATGGTGAGAGTGAAAAGGGTTTGCGGCAGTCTTTGCAGCAGCCTCTTGGTATCCATGGAAACGGATACTGATCTGCACTGGTGTATGGAGATGTTTTAAAGCAGGCAGGGAGGGGCCAGGAGGAGAACGGAGAAAAGGATGAGCAAGGGAAGGTGAAAAAAACTGAGTGATGAGTCATCACGGTCCCCCAGAGCAGCGCCGAAGATCCATCTCTTATATGTGTCAACAGTTAGCAGCCATGCTAACAGCTACATCCAAACATGTTAGTGGGAGGTTGGAAAGAAAACAAAATCTACAATATTGTGATACAAACAGGTGAGGAAAATTTAAAAATATACATTAAAACTTTACAGAAATGTGAATCTTACTCACACGAGCAGAGTTTGGATTTTATCTGCAAACACAGTTTGTAAAATGTCGTCGTGTGCTCTTTCAATCCAAATATTAAATTAACACCATTGTTTTTAAGAAAAGTTGTTGTTTTTTTTTTTCCAGTGAGAGCCGTTACTAACTGGTCCACAAACCAGTACTGGGTATTCTCTTGTCTAAGCCAGCCAAGGGTTACATCAAACAAATGTAAGCTTTTGATTGGCTCTTTGGGATATTAATCCTGTGTTTTTCATGAAACAAGAGAAGTGCCCTCTAGTGGCTTGTTCCTGAGCCCCGCCCCCTTCATGTAAACAAACAAGACCATTTTCTGGCTAAAGAATAAAATGAACCTCAGAATTTTTATTTCCCAGTTGTTGACTCCTATTGCTTCACACATCTCTTCCAGATACATTCCTTATGTTCCAAATGATTTTCCCGAATGGTTTTAAAACCACTTGATTGCGTGCAGGTGAGTAGACGGGGCTTTCAGCCTCGCATCTCTAGAGCAGCAGACTTGTTGTGAAGCGCCTTGGGGGGTTGTAGAACCCTAAGAAGGTGCTATCTAAATACAGGCCAGACCGACAAAAGTTGACAAAGACACTTCAAATATTTTACCCAATTTAATCCAATTAAATTTGATATTTTGGGTTTTATTAGTTGGCTTTGGGATGTTATTCTAAAGTTTAAATTACTATGACTTTTAATATTGTTATTAATTATGTCACATCATATGTCATATTTCAGAAAAAAACATTTAGTTTAAAAGACGCTATCAATAAAGTTTTGGATTTATTACTTATGTATTAAAATTAGTTTTACATGAACTCTCCAACACACCGATTTTAATCCCAGAATTAAAAAAAAAACTGAGGCGAAACATCCAAGTGGTGCTCGCTGAAAAACCGCAAAGGCGGAGCTGCACCAGAAGGTGTAGTTCTGCAGCGAGCACCCTCTCACTTTTGTTGGAGCGGCTGTGGGCAGATATTCGCTAAAAGAAACCTTTTCATTTCGAGATATATTCAGGCTTTGTCATGTAGCAAGCTATATTTTTCTTGTTTAATTGGAGCATAGAACATAGCATTAACAATTATAAACTAGTAACAGCCGTAATTCATGTGGGTCAGGTTAGTTTGCGATAAAGTTGAAAAACAAAAACGGAAGAAGTCAGTGGGCTAGGCTGAGTTTGCGTGAATGGGCGGGGCTGACTCTGGTGCAGCTCCGCCTTTGTAGTTCTGTAGCGAGCACCCTCTCGAAACGTGTGTATCTGGTAAGTTTTGGTTGAAACTGATGTTAGTTTATTTTGTATCTTTGAGACAAAATAACACACCTGTTTTTTTTTTTTTTTTTGCTATTTCTATAGAAGAGGATTAGGGCCACTGAAAAGAAATAGAAATCAAAAGAAAAAAAATTCTGACTTTAATCTCAGAAGTCAGAATTCTGAGAAAAACTAAATCAGATTTCTGAAGATAAAGTCAGAAAGTTCTTTTTTTCTTTTCATTTGTTGACATGATGCTTGATATCAGTTTTGAAGCTTTATAAGTATTCTACAACACCATCTTTTCCCAGACCTTGGTGCCACTGTAGAAATCATCTGCTGTCACAGCATTCATGAAGGTCTCCTCCAGGTGGACGCTGGTGTCGATGCCCCCAGGCAGCACCAGTTTCCCCGAGGCATCGATCACTTTGGCCCCTCCAGGAATCATCAGCTCCTTCCCCACCTGCTGGATGATGCCGTTCTCGATGTAGACGTCGGCCTCCAGGGTGCAGTCGTCGTTCACCACTTTACCACCCTTTATCAGGATCCGAGCCATTGCTGAACTGGAAGACATAGCTACTGCTCTGAAATGAGGAGAGAAACACAGATTTGTTTAGATTGGAGAAAAAAAAAACACAGATTAGAGAAAATGAACATCTTCTGTCACCTCATTCTGAGACCGTGTAATTAAGACCTAAAGAGGAGCGAAGAAGCTGAGCGATGCTGCTCTGGGATCAGTTTGTCACACAGAGACTAACATCAGCTACAGCACAGACTGGGCTGTGTCAGTCTCTGCCTGAGACCTGACGTCCCCCAGGACACAGATGACAAAGAGGCTGGGTCCGGTAGGGGGTCACAGTGAGGCAAACAAGGGTCAATGAGACCATTATTTAAGAAAACTGACGTATGTACATGTACAATAACGTGGCACAGACCGTGGAACCTAAACAGGACTGAAAACAGTGACAGAGAAGTATGCATTACATGTTTTTTTTAATTTAATTTATAAAATAACAGCACATAGCTTGGCTTTTGAATATCACAGTACCGTTATAAAAACACACATTAGATGGAGAACTCAAACAGTTCCAAAGAAAGTAGCAGGTACTCATAGAAAAATTCAGAAATATATCTGATGAACCTGAGAAGAGGTTTTTGAGATACTAACTAGGGATGCAACAATACCACTTTTTGAATTTTCAATCTTCAAAATTTCAATCTGCGATCTGAATGCTCGCCGATACCGACTGCCGATACCGATACTTTTACCATACAAAAAAATGCAATGATTTGGAATACAGATTTTATTTTCTTCTCTGCTTTCAACAGGGAAAGACTGTGAGGTAGATAAAAAGTAAAATATATAAATAGAAATCATCACAAAACTAAAATATTAGGTGAAAAGAAATGACAAGTTACAGTGAAGCCATTTTCAAGCAACTGCATTGGTATCGGTTCCTGGTATCGGTTAACTTTTACCAATACCGATACTGGTATCGGTATTGGCACCGAGGTATCGGTACTGTGTTTCTCTCCTCATTTCAGAGCAGTAGCCATGTCTTCCAGCTCAGCAATACTGGTAATGGTAAACCTAACTGGGTTGTATTAGAAGTAGGAGTGGGACATGATCAAAAACCATATCTAATCAGTTAAAGGCTTTGCAATTAATTAATCTTAATTAATCACATTTTAATCGCTCAACAAAATTTGCCCCAAAAGCATTTTTTTTATTAAAAATAATGAGACAGAGAATCAAACAATAGATATGGACATTTTTGTTGTAAACTCAAACTCTTTTAATTTCTAAAAATGTGCTTTGAAATTGTAAACAAGACAATAAAGCTGTTTTGAATTACTGCTGTGCAAAAAACCGATTTCTGTTGTTGCCCTCTGACTCCATCTCAGTGAAGCTTAGGCGTGGAGTGTTGGGAGACACTGTTATATTTAGAATCAGGGCCTTGGCTTCAAAATAGGTGGATAGGATGTGTGAAAAATTAGATCTGATTGTAGTTTCAGTTGTGTTTGGAAACGGTTCGGAAGTTTTAGTGGTGCAGCGTGACAATATTTATTGATATTTAGGACATGTATTTTGCTGATAAACTCCAATATGGGGGCCCTCGGGCCAAAAAGGGGCCAAATGCATAAATTTGTATTAATGCATTATTATTTTCTCATTAATTAATCATAATTAATCCATCAAATTCCCACTCCTTATTAGAGGCATAATTTTACTACAGAATGTTATTTATGTTTGCCTCTTTTACATGAATGTTTTATTTATGTTATAATTAAAATAATTTACAAAATACCTAAAAACTATGTTTTATAATACAAACACATATCTTAAACAGTCATGTTTTAATTGTTACAAGTGACAATAACAATAACAACAGCAAACAAAAACCAGACCAAAACACCTGCTATGTGAAAACTAAAGGTCATTGAAATAATCATTTAACCATCAAAGGCACATGGCTCTGGTGGCCCTGTCTGAGGTCTTTTATGCTCCTCGGATGTTTTATCTAGAATATATGGTGAATTGATAGTGCACGCAGTAAGAATGGCATCCTGTTGTCAAATTTGAGTACTGCAGTCCATGTTTCAAAACAAGCGAGTCTGCTCTCACCCAGCCTTTCTACTGGATGTGTAAGAGGTGTGTGATATAATAGACGTTTTACCCGTGAGCTCCCTTCCAACCGGGAGTGTTGCAGACGTGAAACGGAAGTGAAAGCATTCACGCAGAGGGCCCCGCGAGGTCCCGAAATTGCGGGAGAATTGGAACACTGTAAGTGATTTCAGAAGCTCACACGATAACAAGCAAAAGGTCTGTGGTTTATGTTCTGTTCTGTTTACCTCAGATAGAGGGCAGGGTTAGAAGAAAAAACTTCTGGGCTGCTCCTTTTTTGGCTTTAGCCAGTGTTGAATTAAAAATGCTGACACAGCAGCGTTTTTCGGCACAGACTTGGCAACCCCACGGGCTCACAGATTTTAAACAAGGACTACATCCCTCTTCGGCCTTTTAAAAAGTAGAAAAACTGACATCCCCCAGCTGACTGAGAATGAAATCTATTTCAATGTAACCTTCCAGCATGACTGAGACATTACAATATTTTGTAATTATTTGACTATAAAATTACTACTTATTGCACCTTTAAGACCATTCATCTACAGTTTTAGTGCCGGTTACGGAAGCCTGTGAGTGCACTCTGCATGTTGAGATTTGAGAGTAAACCGTTAAGTCCTGCAGCAGTGAAAGATAAAAATAACTATATTTATATGTTGATTATGTAACTGTAGTTATAAGTGTTTGGTGGACATTTAAAAATGTTAAATCTACACCCAGAGGAAAAATCTCAGAGAATCATAAAAATGAACTGTGATGGTGTAACATCCATCAGAGGTAGCCTATCAAAACATCAGTTCACTCACATAAAGTCCAACCTTCTACGGCCTGTTTTAACCGTAAATAATGTTCCTACTGTAAAGTCAACCTGACCTAGAGTTCCACAAAGGGGTTTGTTAAAGTACCATCGTAGTCTTGGAGAACATTTCTGCCGGTTTTCAAAATTATACCTAAGTTGTATTAAAAAGTTGTACATAGTTCCCAAATGCATGTAGTATTTATGTATGATTCTCAAGTTTTTACTCAAAGCTATGCGCAAAATATGGACCAAGCATTAGAACAGATTTGCTAACATGATAGTAAAATGGCTATTTGAGATTTGAGAAATGCAGCTTTTAATAATGTTGATGTAACAATATTTATTTAGAAAAATACAATAGATATAATTGAAAAATGTTTTTATGTCCAATTAAAATTGTAGGATACCACTACGTACTAAGTCTACTACTACTACTACTTTTGCTACTACTACTACTACTACTACTACTACTACTACTACTACTACTACTTCTACTAATACTACTACTACTAATAATAATAATAACACTACTACTACTACAACAACAACTACTACTACTACTACTACTATTTCTACTACTACTACAGCTACTGCTACTACTACTAACTTCCACTACTACTTTTACTACTACTACTACTATTACTAATACTACAACAACAACTACTACTACTACTACTTCTGCTACTACTACTACTACTACTTCTACTACTACTTCTACTAATACTACTACTACTTCTACTAATACTTCTACTAATACTAATACTACTACTAATAATAATAATAACACTACTACTACAACAACAACAACTACTACTACTACTACTACTATTTCTACTACTACTACAGCTATTTCTACTACTACTAACTTTTTCTACTACTACTACAGCTACTGCTACTACTACTAACTTTTACTACTACTACTACTTCTACTACTACTACTACTAATAATAATAATAATACTAATAACAATAATACTACTACAACTACTATTACTACTACTACTACTACTACTACTACAACTTCTACCACTACTAATACTACAGCAACTACTACTAATAATACAATAATAATATTACTACAACTACTATTACTACTACTACAACTACAAATAATAATAATAATAATTATTATTATAATACTTCTAAATCTACTATTAATACTACTACTACTAATACTATTACTACTGAAACAACAACAACAAAAACTACTACTACTCCTCCTCCTCCTACTACTTCTACTACTACTACTACTACTACTACTACTGCTACTTCTTCTTCTTCTTCTACTACTACTACTACTACTACTACTTCTACTACTACTACTACTACTACTAGGCCTAATCCTCTTCCTACTACTACTACTACTACTACTACTACTACTACTACTACTTCTACTACTTCTTCTACTACTACTATTAGGCCTACTCCTCCTCCTCCTACTACTACCACTACTACTACCACTACTTCTACTATTAGGCCTAGCTCCTCCTCCTACTTCTACTACTTCTACTACTACTACTACTACTACTACTACTACTACTACTACTACTACTACTACTACTACTACTACAGGCTACTACCAGGTTACTGATGTTTGAGATTTTCATAAAGTTTGCATGTTCTAATGAAATTCAGGTCACTACAGGATGATCAAAGACAGAAACAACCTGCCAGCTCTGCCCAGCACCCTCCCTCCTCACCACCGTGCGTGTGGGCCCATTTTGCGTGCTTGCGTGTTTGGCAGGATGAGTACGTCTGAGGGTGCGGCAACTTTTCTGCATGGACTCCTTCACACAACCAGATCAAATGGCTGATAATAAAAGTAATTCTCACAAAAACACGCACCTGCAAATTATTAAACACACATGCTTTCTGGCAGCTCTTATGGCTGGCTAAAAACCGGAAGTTGTATAAAAGTATATAATATACAGATGAGTAGACACAATAATCTAAATAAATTTTTTGTGAAAAAAAAAATTGAGAACTGATGAACTTAGTAGATATATTTTAGCTTTTTGTCCAATTACTGTCTTGTTCTGGGTTTAAATTTATTCAAATAGTCTATTTTTTAATTATTTTTTGAGTATAAATGTAGATTAAAATCGTTGATGCGGTAAAATAATATTTCCATGAGTGCCACACTTGACACAAAGAACCCGCTCTCCATCACGAGCGGCGGCACATTAGCGAGCCACACACCGCGCCCCCACCTCTCAGTCCGCCCTAATAAACACCTCCCTGCAAAGTGTCCGAGCACGACCTGGATCCTGCAGCTCGTAGGTCCGATGGAGAGATCCTGGGAAGGATGGAGCAGGCAGGGAGACACCCATGCGTGGAACCGGGGGAGACATGCAAACAAAGTGTCCAGGGAGAGGGTTTCTTCGGTCTGCCTGAGCCGCTGCAGCCCGCTGACTATAGCCTTTATAGTGTGGAGCACATACCTCCTGGATGGTCCTGCAGCTGCTGCTCCAACGGGATCTCTGGTTACTTTCTAACAGCAACAGAAGGCAGAACTCAATTCGAGAACGGCCTTTCCCAGGGAGACGCACACACCAGATGGATACCTTCCTGGCCGGTTTGGGACCTGCACACCGCAGCATCAGCACCATCAAGGCACCATCTACATCAGACAAGCACTTCTGGTTCAGACTTTCAAAATAAAAGCAAACGTTCACTAGCGTGAAGCTGTTGAGCTGAATTCAACTTGTATTTTCTTTACGTTTTCCTTACAACAATGGACTCGAGTATTTTTTTTAACATTTTGAAAGTATTGATTAAAAACTAGCAGAATGTTAGAGGGAGTGAGAACACGAATGGGGAAGTGTGGAAATGAGATGTGTTTGACTGCAAATACAAAAAACAGCATGAATGTAAAACCTTTTCCCTGGTTGTGGGAGTAATGGTAGTTATGGAGTCTAACCAGCAGGAGGAAGGCCAGATAACGATCCTTAAGATGTAACTTTAGAGAACAAGGTTACTCATAATGTTGCTGAAACTGGTCTGAAAACAGCCAAACTAGTTTATTTATTTATTTATTTATTTATTTATTTATTTATTATTTATTTATGTTAAAAATAAAAACCCACAAAGGGCATCAGAAGGTGGTGAAGCGTTATGAAGGGTTGTTGTTATTTTTGGGTGTGTGCATGTATGACCAACCCAATACATTCACTGGTTGCAAATGATATTTATCAATATATCAAAATTTTATATATTTTAACTTGGTGTGCCAGATCTAAACAAACGTTTGCACACCTGATCTGGGTCAACATTCACTTCCACCCCCAGCTGAACCTGTTGTTTGGTTATGAAACACATTTTACGTAAAAAATCATCTATTTTTAAACAACTCAATAGTTTTGTTTTGTATTTCCCCGGCAAACCGGAAATGATATGTGTGTGGATGACTCGCTTGATGCAGGACCCAGCATCCAGTCCGAGTCCTGACGTAACGCTCCAATCAGCAACGTTGATTGAAGGCTTGGTGTTCTCAGCAGCCAATCAGATCAGACGCAGGGCGAGTCCGCTCAGGAGGGGCTAAACCACTTTCCGACTGAGAGAGGGGAGGAGACTGAACTTGCCTTGCTCTTGTGTTCTCTTCCACCCTGCATTGTTGAGATAGTGAGTTATAATTGTATAAAAATTGTTTTTATTTCTTCCTTTATGTAGGTCAGTGGTTGCTAGAAATGTAACAAATATGAGTTAAAGGATAAAATAAATGGCTACTTGCTCTTGTTGAGGAGCTGCAGAGTGTATGTAAGGAGGTAAACATGTAGAGAAAAGTCTCTAAGGATCAAACCCACTCTGGAGCACCCTGATGGCATGGAAACTAAACTGAGAATTGATGTTTTCTAATACAGATCTTCCTTTTCAGACAAACTGCATCATGCATACTATAATCAGGTCTGTCAAAGTTTGTGAGAATAAAGTCGGGAGTTTCCTGGACATGGAGCTAAGCTTTGTTACCTCAACCATCCATATGGTGCTCCTTTAACATCAGACTGCTCCTGTGCGGTTGGGAGTTCCTCTGGGATGATGCTTGGTTACCATTAATTTGTGTCTAAGTCAACCGACTCATCCTTTAAAGTGCTGATGGACTTTCTTGCAAAAACAAGGACGTTAAGTTAAAAGACTTTAAAAATTATCTGATGATTATAGACTAAACAGTTTAACCATAAAAAACAAGGCAGCTACTATGTGAGAACTCATTAGTAATTCAAAACAATATTTGGGCGTTTTTTGTTGTAAAAGTAAGCATATTAGGGCTGCTGCTTCTCATGTACCCTTTAGTCATTCTTACACAAAATCAGGAAATTAGATATTAAAATTAACTAATTATTTTAAATTTTAACCAATAAAAGCAGACCAAAGAATTTTTAATGGCTGATACTGCCATTTAACTTTTTGTACATTTTTTTCTCACAACAAAAATATAACATAAGTAGAAGTCAGTGTGCCCCAGGGCAGCTGTGGCTACATCTCTACCAGTGTGTGAATGACTGGTTTTGTTGTGAAGTGCCTGGGGGGTTGTAGAACCCTAAGAAGGTGCTATACAAATACAGGGCATTTTTTTAACCATTCATTGATTTACCTCTAGTCACCAATTTCAAATGCTCTGGATCTGAGTTCAAATAGTCAAAAAGCTGCATTTCTGGCAAAATTTCTTAAAAAAAATATATACATACACACACACACACACACATATATATATATATATATATATGAAAATTTGCCAGAAATGTAACTTTTTGACTATTTGAACTCAGATATATATATATATATTTATATATATATATATATATATATATATATATATATATATATATATATATTGTATACACACACACACAAAGATAGACAAGTATGTTTTTTGCACAAAAACAAGACATTTATTCAAGTGTTCTCCAGCACACAAGTACATACAGAGCCTTTATCTCCTCTCTGGACACTAAACTGAAGTATATGAGGGAGTCAAAGTGGAGAATGGCTGCTACATTTGCTGTACAAACTGGTCTTTGAAGGAAAGCGTATAGGCCATAAAACATTTATGACAAAAACAACAGAAACGTCAGAGTGTCGACAGCATCACTCAATATTTGACCTGTCTTGAACAGCAAACAAAAATTTGTGAATATAAAAACATGAAAATTCAAAAACAAAAATGCATTATTTCAATGCAACATTTAAAAGAAGTGACGTGGAGAATAATATGTTGTGGAATGTAGGATAAAGAAGTGTTTTTATATGCTACAGTAAAGGGTTTTACTGTTTTTGCTCACATAACTTTCCCACAGAAAAGCACCAACTACAGCAATCTAGTCTAAAACAATATAAGAAACTTTTCAATATTTTTTCAAGTACAAAGTTAGAATGCCTTTGTTAATATATTTGTACGAGTAAAATAATAAGTCTTTTCCATTACTAAAAGGAACTTAAAACAGTCATCATCAAGACATTTTCATTTATTTTCCAATCAAATATATTTTTCTTGATTAGATCAAATGTTTAGCACCATTGGAAACACCTATAATCCCACTTTTTTATCTTACAAAAGCTAAAAGAAGCAAAAATAAAACCATCACTGGGCAGGGCTGTGCGGTGAAGCTTCCCCTTAAAGCTGTTCATCAGCTAAGCTCACAACATCAAATCTGAACTCTCGACACAAACAAACCAGTAAGCTGACCTGGGACCTTTCCACACCTACATGTTTAAAGCAAGTTCTGAATCACCACTTGACTTTTTTCTGATGATATATATTAACAGAGAATTAAATTTGTACATGTCGTAAGGTAAAAAGAAAACAGCAACTGGAAAACTATTTACAAAATGTAAAAATGTACAAAGATGAAGGGATGATTTGTTTTATTGGAGGATAGGTCTGGTTAAACGATCACAGAGCGTCAGAGCTTGTGCCGCGTCTCCATCAGGACAAAAACAAGGGCAATAAGGTCACTTAAGAAATTAACTACACTAAGAAATTAAATTTCTAATTCGAATCTTAAATATGATACAATCAAGTGATATAATTAGCTTTTGTTTAGGCTCTTTTATGTCTAACACTTTGTAAGTTTTTTATTTTGACAAAATGACGCGTAAATCCTCCAGATTTATCTTTGAGCGTGCAATCGAGAGAATTTAGGTTGTGGATGTGAGCAAACTTTAAAACAGGAAAACTCTCCTTCACAAGGCAGATAAAATATAACAGAAAGACGACAAAGTTCTTAAACTCTGCCTGGTAGTTTACAATCTTAATAAAAAGACATTCTTTGAGTTTGGATGGTGACATATTGCGCTGAAAGTTGAGTCCACTACGAAAAATGGCGGAAAGGAGAAGTTCGGGACTACAAAATGCCAACTTACCAACTCTACACGGTCCAATAACGGGAGTTTCACATATCAAAGCCACACATCTACTGGCACAGCCCTACTGAATACAAAATGTGTTTCACAAGGGTAGATCAGTTCACATCATCAAACGATTCACAAGAACCAAAAATCTTTAAAAAAAAACCAAGAGGGAAAAAGTATACATATAAAAGTGCTTTATATTGTTGATAAAACAGCACAAAATTGCTATAAAAAGTCAAGCCGCACCATGATGTTGAAGATTTGCACCTGAAAGTTATCTGAGAGGCGGATGCTGAGGAGGAGGACGCTAGCCTTCCTCCTGCAGCAGCGCTTACTAACAGTTGTACAGTAATATTCATCTGGATGAAACTAGGAAAAAGTAGCTCACCAGACTTTGATTTTAAAAGTTTTTTTTCCCCCGTTTAAAACGACAGAAAACATCATTCCCCATGTGGCTAGCTTCACTCTCTGTTTGTGCAGACCCAGCTGTGAGCCTGGGAGCAGCAAGGCTGAGACAAGAAATGAGCACCAGTAGAAACAGTATAAAAGCTGTAAAAGAGGACAGCCTGTAAAGTCTGTGCCTCTTGTGTTTCTGTTCAAATAAAGAAAACAGCACAGAAATAATGTTTTATCATCAAATGTAAAAAAATATCTAACAGAAATCTTTCCAGCAACAGGATTAGGAGCTCTGCATCATCCAAAGTTTTAGTGCCACATGGGCTATGATGCTTCTGATCATCTTGGAGCACCATGGTGTTGTAACCATATTACAGTAGTACCTTTATTACCGCCAGCTGTGTATAGAAACTGTAAACATAGAGGTATATGTGATCTGGTGTTTTGGATTTTCAGAGAAACGGCTCTCCTGACCACGAAGAAAACTCCTCTTTTCTTCTCCACGTCTGTGAGGCTCAGTAGCTGGAAGCTCGGCTGCGCTGCGGGTGGCAGGCCGGCAGCCCGACGTACAGTACGCTCACAAATATTTCACATACGCTTGAAAGGATGACTTTCTGATGTTTACCGTCTCTTTTACACGTTTAGCATTTTTACGTCTCAGTGTCTTGAGGAGAAGAGCATAGCTTGCACAGACGAATAAACAAGTCAATAACACTGCTAAAAGGTCGAACTGAACTTAAATAGAATAAGAGTCGCAATTTAAATACAAGAGATAATGTGAAATCTACGTCAACGATTCGCTTTCAAATTATACTACAGTATAATTTGAGGTTCAAGGCTCTTATTTCTAACCAAAAAATACAGCTGTAGTTCCTAAATGGCTGAACGCAAACATCTCCTGCTTCTCAAACACAGGCGAAGTAATCTTTGAGTGGTGCAAACAGGTGGCGGATAACGGGGACGCTCCAGGATCTGCCCAGGAGCCTCTGCCTTGCCAGTCGGCTCATGTTGGACACGTCCGTGTAGTGGACGGGAAAACCAAACACCCTGATAGGAGCAGAGACAACCATTACAATGATGAAGCCAGAAGGAGACTAATGATATGAGCTGTTTTATTCACATACCTCTCCATCTCAGTGCACCAGAGGATGTCTTCCTTCTCGTTCATGTATACGGGGAAGTGTTGGTCCTTACCCTGCTTGATGGAATTAGACCTGGTGGTGATGGTCCTCACTTTGCCAAACTGAAAAACAAAAAGCATCAAAAGTTCAGTGCTAACTTTCTAATTGCCTTGTGGTGCTTGGTCATTTTTCAGAACTGGCATTACTGATTGTTACTTCTTGCTAAAACACGAAAGCAACAGTGAGCTAAAGGTTCTATGTTTTGTGATTTGCATGCACATCCTGACTTGCAAACATACCTTAGCTGTTCTGCCGTGTTCCAAGCAGTCCTGGAGATCCAGCCTGTCAGTGAACATCGCAGATAAAGGCCTGCAAAGAAAAATGGTTCAGTAGCCAATCGTTTTTGCTGCTTTGGGGTTGATACATACTTTCATTACGTCCATGATGCTGGGTAAAATAATAAATCAGCTAGTAACAATTAGGCTGCAGTAGGCAAAATCAGAATAAGAAGGATCGTTTACTAAGACTGTCACAAAACTTCATAAAATGGGGCGACGATGGCACAGGAGTTAAGTGCTCGCCACATAATCAGAAAGTTCGTGGCCCGCTCAGTCTGCCGCCGTTGTGTCCTTGGGCAAGACACTTAACCCTCCTTGCCAGCTGGTGGTGGTCAGAGGGACCGGTGGCGCTTGTGTACAGCAGACTAGCCTCGGTCAGTGTGCCCCAGGGCAGCTGTGACTACATTGTAGCGCATCACCACCAGGGTGTGAATGGGTGAATGACTGATCGTGTTATAAAGCACCTTGGGGGGTTCCAGGACTCTAGAAGGCACTATATCAAATACAGGCCATTTACCATTTTTAAAATCTCATTTAACATTACTGCTGCATCTGACTAATGCTTCAAACTTGAGCCCAATGATTATAAAATTCTCTGTACTTTAGTGTTAAAATGTGGAGGCCTTTTGCCCGGAGCTCCTCTGCCTTCCAGCCGTCTATGTAACATCTCTCGACCTGAGAGGGAGGCCACGGAGACCTATATCAAGGAATCGCTGTCTGCTGGTCTCATTCGTCCTTCCTCATACCCCCTGGGTGCAGGGTTTTTCTTCGTATCAAAAAAGGATGGTTCCAAGGCCCTGCATTGATTATCGGGGACTAAATCAAATACCGGTGAGAAACAAGTATCATCTTCCCCTCATTTCGCCTATGTTTGAATTGATGCAAGGGGCTACCATGTTCACCAAACTGGATCTCCAGAACGCTTATCACTTCATTCGCATCCATCAAGGCGACAAATGGAAAATGCCTTTTCAAACTCCCCTGGGTCAACATGAATACTTGGTCATGCCCTTTGGACTCACCAATGCCCCTGCTGTATTCCAAGCCATGATAAATGATGTCCTCAGTGATTTCATTAACCGCTTTGTTTTTGTCTATCTAGATGATCTACTCCGACACACTGACTGAACACCATCAACATATCCGCCAGGTTCTCCAACGTCTCCTCGAAAACTGCCTGTATGTTAAGGCTGAAAAAAGTACATTTTACAAGTCATCCATAACCTTCCTAGGACACATCTTTGAGGGTGGACAGGTGCGCACCGACCCCGACAAGATCAAGGCTGTCCAGGACTGGCCCACCCCAGAGAACAGAAAACAACTCCTTTCTGGGATTTGCTAACTTTTACTGTAGATTTCATCAAGAACTACAGCCAAACTGCATCCCCGCTAACTGCCCTTACATCTACCAAGAGTAAGTTTACATGGACCCCTGAGACCAACCACGCCTTCACAGCTCTAAAGACCCTGTTTGCCTCTGCCCCATCTTGGTTCAACCCGACCCTCACAAGCAGTTCATCGTAGCGGTCGATGCTTCTGATTCGGGAATAGGAGCGGTGTTGTCTCAAAGGTCAGTGCACAATGGAGAGTTGCATCCCTGTGCTTTCTGTTCCCACGGACTAAGTCCAGCAGAAAGAAACTATGACGTGGGTGACTGTGAACTCCTTAGAGGAACGGTGTCACTGGCTGAGGGGCTCAACACATCCGGTACTAGTATGGACCGATCACAAAAACTTGTCATATATACAATCCGCCAAACGTCTCAATTCTCAGCAATCTCGATGACCTCTGTTTCTCTCCCATTTCAACCTAACCATTTAATTCCGTCCAGGCTCAAAGAATGCCAAACCCAATGCACTCACCCGTCAGTTCTCTCCTTAAGAGGACTACAAACCTCCTGCTCCCCTTCTCCCTCTAAGTTGTTCAGTGGGCACCCTCACGTGAGACATCAAGAACGTGATCGCTAAGACTCTTATCAGAACAAGACAAGAGGTGAACCGGACCCAAGCTCGGGACCGCTCAACAAGACATACGTACCCTCTTCAGTGTGCTCCAAACTTGTCCACTGGATTCATACAGCCAGGTTCTCCTGCCACCCAGGTATCAGCCATACCATTGCTCTCACCACCCTTAAGTTTTGGTGGCCGTCCCTTCACAAAGACATCAAAGACTACGTCCTTGCCTGCCCAACCTGAGCCTGCAACAAAACTGGTAATAAACCCCCTTCTGGCTTGTTGCATCCTATACCCATTCCCAAGAGACCCTGGTCACACGTTGCCTTGGATTCTGTCACCGGTCTACCCCTTTCCAAGGGTATGACTACCATTTTGACTGTTATTGACCACTTCTCTAAAGCTTGCCATCTCATCCCCCTCAGGAAACTTCCTACTGCCTTCCAGACAGCTCAGCTTCTAGTCAAACATGTCTTCCATCTTCATGGAATTCCTCAGGACATCCTTTCCTATCGGGGCCCCCAGATCGTCTCTCGCGTATGGAAGCAGTTTTGTTCTTCTCTTGGCTCCAAAGTCTGTCTGTCTTCAGGATACCACCTAAAAACTAATGGTCAGATGGAGCGCATGAATCAGGAGCTCGAGGCCTCTCTCCGATGTGTCATCTCATCCAACCCTTCCGACTGGAGCATGTTCTTACCCTGGGTTGAGTATGCTCATAACTCGCATATCTCCTCTGCCACTGGTCTGTCCTCCTTTGAGGTGTCCCTGGGTTATCAACCCCCTCTTTCCATTTGATGAAACTAGGGCTGCAACAACGAATCGATGAATTCGATGAAAATCGATTACTAAAAGCGTTGGCAACGAATTGCGTCATCGATTCGTTGTGTTGCGCAACTCTTCCAAAAGCCCCCTCCCCTCCCGCCCGCCGTTGCGCGCAGACCGGTGGAGAGCCGGCAGGTGTTTGTAAGAGGAACATGGCAGAAGCAGCGAGACCCCAAAAAAGTTAAAACTTCTAAAGTTTGGGAGCATTTTCAGTTAAATCAGGCGAAGACATGCAACGTTTGTAGGTCAGACTTAGCATGGCACAGGGATACTACGGTGATGATGCAGCGTCTTAAACACAAGAATGTCAGAATCATCAGCGAGGAAGGAGAGAGCTCGGTGTCCGGGTAAGTTAAAAACTTTTTAAAAGTGATTCACCCAAGGCCCAGATTATTACACAGGCTAGACATGCCCTAAGCTCGTAAAAAAAGTCTATAAAATTGTAAGCGCGACGCTATTTGATAGTCGGGGGGGGGACTCGCGCCGCTGTGAACCGGTTCCGCCGTCACATTCCCACAGAAACTGGTTGATCACACCGGGGCCAGACTACTAACATGTGGTTTTACAACCACAATGTCCTCAGAAGCAAAAACGCTTTTAAAAGGGAGGGAGGAGTCCTAACTGTTGCTGCAGGCGTGTTGTGTGAGAGTGCAGTTATATACTGGTTAATATATTTTTGGGTTCAGTTGCTTTCATGTGGCCTAATGTGAGTCTATTTGGGATCATTGGAATGATCAGCAGCATTTCTTGATGTGACTTTATGGCAGTTGCCCAGGGCATCATCGCAAGGAGGATGGCATTCATTTACTTTTGTTTTATTTGGTATTTTTTCAGTCATTTTTGGAAATAGTGATTAATTTTGATTAATTCACAGCCTATGTTTAATTACATTTAAAAATTAGTTGTTTGACATCCCCAATTATAATAAATGTCTACAGATGAGATCAAACAAAACAGATGAGAATTGCCCTTAAAGAGCAAGTCACCCCCAAATAAACTTTTTTTTGCTGATAAACTAAATAAACGAGTGTCTAATCGTGCTGCAGACACGTGTCGTCAATAATTTGGCACTTCAGTGCATCTTAGTTAAAATTTAAATATTCTGCCTAAAACTGGCAGTGTTGTGCCGTTGTCAGGTAAAAACTCTGCACTGTATTTTAATTTAAATCTGCCACCGCTATTGGCTAAGAAGTACGCTATGATGTAAACTGGTACATTATGATGTCACAATGCTGTCGTGAGCCTGAGTGTGTGTGTATTTGTTAGCGGCTCCGCCCTCTCGGTCTGCCAGGCAACAGCATGTGTTGCATTTTTCAAACATGACGCTGGTAGGGGTTGACTTGCTCTTTAAGCTGTTTAACTTGGACCAAGCATTTTAGGTCACAGATAGATGTAGCTTAGGGTCTCTGTCTATACGCCTTATAAGACAATTTAGGTGATGGCATGTTGTTTTTCTGCTATTGAACTGTTTTCTAATAATGTTGTGTTTAATAAAGTGAAGGAAGGAGAAAAATAACGTTTCCCTGGCAGTTTTTAAAAATGTCCCTATGTAATCCGATTAATCGATTAATCGTGTCGAGACCCCATCCGATTAATCGATTATCCAAATAATCGTTTGTTGCAGCCCTAGATGAAACTGACATTTCTGTGACCTCTGTCCGCCACCATGTCCGCCGCATCTGGTCCATTGCCTCTTCTGCTCTTTCCTGCACACTGGAACAAAACTGCAAATATGCTGACCGCAGACGGACCCCTGCTCCTGTTTACACTCCTGGCCAAAAGGTATGGCTTTCTTCTCTGCACGTACCCCTGAAGTCTGTGTGCCGTAAATTCTTCCCCAGGTTCCTCGGTCCCTATATGATCTCGGAGGTCATCAGTTCAGTCTCTGTCCGTCTCCACCTTCCTCCTGGTCTCAGGATCCATCCCACTTTTCATGTCTCTCAGATCAGGTTCCAGGCCTGTGGGAGGTGGAGACGCTCAGGTGTACACCTCCCAGCTAATGAGCTCGGCAGCACAGCCACCTCTCTCACCTGCAGCTGATCAGCTAACCAAGACGGGAGGAATAAAGGAGTCAGGGAACCAGCCACTCACTGCCAGATAGTTTGCCTTCGTGGTAACATCCAGCCACCTGAACCAGTTCTGAATTTCTAACCTGAAAACCTTGCCTGTTCCTGACCTGCCTTCATTTATTTCCATATGATTCCTGATCCCAAGCCAAGCTGACACTTTCAGCCCTTCAGAACCGCCTCGACTGCTTTCTTCCCCTTCTCCAGAACCATGGCTGCTTAACTCCTTGGCTTTTGGATCTCCTCCCGCCCTAAACATCCTCCCATGTGTCTCCTGTTCACCCTCCAATGTTACACCATAAGCCATCACAGCTTTTATCATCATAATTCTCCTGGTACCTGTTACTCACCTCTGAGCTGCTCCAGTCCCTGCTCCCGATCAATCCTACTCACCGGTCTACAGCCCTGGCCCTGCTCACCTCTCCAGCAACTACTTTCATTCTCCTCCCAGTAAGACCTCTCCAACTGTTATTCTATATTCCTCCTTGTTCCGCTCATAACCTCCTGCATTCTTCAATCCAGTGGCCTAACCTCCAGACCCAGAGCCCAGCCTATTACCGACCTGCCTTTTAGTTCCTGAAAATAAACATTTTGTAATTACACCATCTCCTGATCTCCAGAGTTTCTCATGTATGTGGGTCAAATTTATTCCTAAAACCATGACACAAATGTCCTTTTTGTGAGCGTTTTATGACATTTTGACCAGTGATCTGTTAAGGGAAACAATCTTTTTTTCTTTACCTTGTGTTACTATGTGATGCAGGAGTGTAATGTAGAATAACTGTCTGATCACATTCTGATGCCAGATCACAATGGCACTCTCTAAAGCTGGTGTCTTCGTGTTATCATTATCACATTAAAGCTTCAAGATCTTGTCAATTCAATTAAAGTTTATTTATATAGCGCCAAATCACGACAAGAGTCATCTCAAGGCACTTCACACAGTAAACATTCCAATGCAGGTCAGTTCACTAAGCCAATCAGTAAAAAGTTCCTATATAAGGAACCCAGCAAATTGCATCAAGTCACTGACTGGTGTCAGTGACTTCACTTCAATCCTCATAGTAAGCAAGCATTTGTCCTTACAGCAGACCTATTCTGCTGTAATGAGTGGACTCAGTCCCCTATTGAACGAAGGCAAACCACAGGGATGTGTCCTCAGCCCCCTTTCACTACCTCCTCTTCTTATAAATAAAAACTATTTTGTCAAAACCAGTAACATGACTGTGAAACTAAGTGACAACACTACAACTGTTAGCTAACAAGGCCCAACAGAAGCCTTACATTATCAGAAGTTAAAGTCAGCTGACCTTCCACACCACTTGCTACAAAAGCAGCTGTAACAGAGACCCTCCTGACCTGCTGGTGTACATGGTGGCTTCTTGCTGAGGACAGAAAGGACCTGCAGCAGGTCCTGACATGTACTCTGACAAGAGTACAAAAAGTCAGGAACATTCTGATTGATCACGCTCACTCACAGATGGAAATCTGTATTTTCTTACAGAATTACAGAATTTATTTCCCGTTTCTTAAGGTACTGTCAAAAATTTTATTTAACCTAATCTGAAATGTTCAATCCTGGAAAAACCTCATCTAATTTTTAATGATCGGATCATAATTAATCCATCAAACTGCTCTTTTGAAGGTCTCTCCACCAGCAGCAGATAACACCCTCTGTGCATGAAAATCTCGTTCTTGGCAGAGCAGCCAAGCAGGAAGAAAGCTGGGCTTCCTAGTGTCATGGAGGGAAAGTCCCATTTAGGAGTTGTTTTACATGTTCTGCTTAGAGTCTGGTTCTGTTTTGTTGGGAAACGTTTAGGTGACAGTTATTGTCTGGGAAGAGTCTCAACTCTGTCGGTGCGCTAGAATGAGTGTGTTGCCGTGAGCAGGTAGAAAGGATGGATGAATTTTGTTGGTGGCACTGAGCTCTTGTGATTTTAAAGTTAAATACCAAGTTTTTCACCAATTACTACACGGGCTATTCAATTAGGGGCCTCGAGGGCTGGTATCCAGCACGTTTTAGTTGTTTCTCCGCTCCAACACACTTGACTCAGTGGTTGAATCACCAGTGCAGCAGCTCATCAGGCTCTGCAGAAGCCTGTTTATCACCTGCTGATTGAAATCAGGAGTGTTGAAGCAGGTTTAAAACCAAGATGTGCTGGACACCGGCCCTCAAGGCCTAAAACTCAATAGCCCTGAGTTGGATGTTCCATTCTAAGATAGTTCTGGAAATGGTAACCACTGCAGCTCAGCAGAGCTGTATGCCTACTGCTTGCTTGTGTGTGTGTCGCAAGCAGGTGTTGTAGCTCATCGTTATCTGCAGCTTTCTGATTCTGTGACTCTAGGGGGGAGCCTGAAGAAAGGGAGCGGACAATTAAATGTTATTTTTTTCTAAATGTAGCTCGCTTGAACAGCTTTTTCCAGGAACGAATACTGCATTTTTAACATGAAACTGATACATACGTATACCCACGTGGGCTTGTCTGATTTTAGGTTTGTGTCACAACATCGGCACTTTACCTGTTCATCCCAGGAAGATTACCCCAGAAGTAACGAGCACGGTGGGCAGCAGACACCTCCTTGGCATCAATCATCACTGGGTTACACTGAGAGTAAAACAAACACAAACAGCAATGAAGCATGCGAGTAGGAGCTTCGTTAGCAAATACTCAAAAGCAAAATTTGTGCTAATTTGACAAGGATTAAGAAAGAATTTAACAAAAAAGTAAACTATGATTCTGATTGGTTATTCTGTGAGAAAACTCACTTTAATTACCCTGACAGCTAATCTGAGCTTTATAGAGAACAAAGTAGAGTAAAAATATTAAATATGAAGCGGGCGAGTGCATCAATGTGTGTAGAGATAGGTTACAACCACAAGGGGGCCTTCATAATCCAGTAATCTCAAGTGTCATGCAAGCATGTGCATCTGCACTAACCTCTAGAAAGCGAGATATGTCCCTCTTGTCGCTGACACCCATGGCCACCACGTTCTCAAACAGCCAGAAGAAAGGGCGGTCATCCCCCTCCTTTGGCCGAGCCTCATGGAGCAGCCGGTAAAACTCAAAGAACAGACGGCCGGTGCCTTCTGTGAAAAAAGATGTTTTTCATTCTGTACATAATCTGATGATGATCTGGTGATTTGCATAGGTAAACCGTTTGGATTAGATGGGTTTTATAAGGCATATTCAATAAGTGAGATGGTTTAAACCCACCATAAAGACCCTTCCTAGCAGGATTTACTATGGACAGGTCATTGCAGGGGCTTCCACCAATAACAAGGTCAAAAGGACCCCACTCCTGAATCTGGACAGACATAAATGTAAGAACAAAAAGACAAAAATGATGAGAAGTATAATTATTTTGGCAGTAAAACAAAAACATTGTTGTGGATCCAAATAAAAACAAAACAACACGCTCCTTAAAACTGGTGATATTCACTCACATGCTTGCGGGTGACATTCCTCACATCGCCGACATACATGATGCGTCCCTGATGCCGGACGATGCCCACTGTGATGGAGTCTTCACACACTTCAGACGCTACGTAGCGATCCACTTGGATGCCAAGCTCTCTTAACACAAGGAGTCCTGCAGGAGCACAGAGAGAAGGGCTAATCTATCAAGACTTAATAAAAAAAGAACCACTTTATTACAACCTCTGCATTTGCATGTAATGTTTGTGCCGACATCTCCAAACTGCAACACCTTACGTACACCTGCTCAGTTGCTTGTTGACTTAAAATTGGGTGGAACAGAAGATGAGCCATTCTTAGAGATCATTACTGAACAGTGTTTGGCAAGTTACTTGAAAACTGTAATGCATTATTTATTACTTGTTACCCTCATTTTAAAGTAATTCATTACATTACAATATTACTGATTTTAAAATGTAAGGCATTACACTACTTTTGCATTACTTTGTCACTTTCACCAAAACAACTTCAATATGAATCTGGTAATCTGACACTCAGTGAACTCATGACATACATGTGGAAGGTGATGTGGTATCTGAGCTAGGACTGCTGTTAAAAACAGTCAGATGTGCTTTAAAATGTTTGTTTATTAAATAAAAGCAACAACAATCTGTACTCTCAGCACGCTGCCATCTTATATTAACTGAGCAGGGAGTAAGGTGGTGGGGGCTCCAAGCCTACATTTGCCTTGGTCCCCAAATGCCTTGATACGGCCCTGGATGTGGGACTGACTTCTGGGCTGATCTGATTCTATCACATGTATAAATATTAAATGCTTATATATTATTGCTTTTCACTGGTAAAAATGTGTATTGGGGATAAATCTGCCTACTTTTTTTCTTTTCAAGCACTTTGTTTTGTTTTCTTGATTTTATTTGAATAATTTCCGGCCCTTTCTCTCTCTAACCTTCATGCATGCTGCATGTTTTCTCCGTCTTCCAGAAAAACTGTTTCCTAGATTTCCTACTTTTTAACTAATCAGCCAAAGGGATCTACCGAACGCTAAAAAAAAATAGCTTAATATGCGCTGCGCTCCAGCAGCAATGAGTTGAAATCACCGGGGCACAGATTATGCACTCAGCTGAAAAGTACATGAAGTACCAGAGAATATGGGCGAATTACTTAGTTTTAGTGGAGCGATTTAGTGAATATAACAGCGGCCGCGTGCAGGACGCAGCTGGAGTTTGAGCCATTACCGCTGCGTCCTCTCTGCTCATAGAATGCCCGCAAAGCTGAGTCCATAAATGACGTCATATATGTGGATACTGGATCTTTTTTCAGGCTTCCCGCAATTTGAATTTTTAGGAAACCCACATCTTGATTCTGGGTTTAAAAACACATTGTAATTACCGCGTTACTGACAATTGTACCGAGTAAATATTACCATTTTCTTTCCCTGTAATGCCTTACATTACCACATTACAGCAAAAAGCAATGCATTACAGTAATTAATTACTTTTTACCGCGTTACTCCCAACACTGTTACTGAAATAAAAAAGTTTTGTTTTTAACCTGTTGCTATGCCATCAAATAGTGACAGGACACGAACAGGCTTCCTCTTCTCCACCATGACAGGGGGGTAAAGCTTCGGTGGATCCTGGAGTTCAACACAAACACATGAGAATTAAAAGAAAACCAAGGACAAATAACCCGTGTGGGGCCGTTCCTGTCTGCATGAACAGCAAATGACTCACAAAATCTTGATCGTGATTATTTGCAAAGAAGTGCTGCAGGCGGCTGGGCCAGTCTGATCGGCGCTCCAGCAGACCAAACACCCCCTTTGGACAACACATGTAGCAGTTCCACGGGTCTTCTTTGATGGCGGCGTGGGCGGCTCCTTGACCGACGAGGAGGTCCACACACTCGACACAAAAGCACCTGGACACAAAGACAGGAATTATTCAAATGAGTGCAGAAACATCAGCCAGTAAATGCTGCTTTTATAGCTCTAGAGGTGATAGAGAAACGTTCTCAGCCTCCCTTCAGCCCCTTTGGCCCCTCTCACGTCTAGGTTCAACTGAGGACAAGAACCAAGACAATGTGTACTTAAGTCTATGAAAGGACTGAACAAAAACTCCAACATCAGTGTTACTGATAAATAAATGTCATGGTAAAAATAGATAAATAAATGTCATGGTAAAAATATATATATCTCCAGATCATGAGGATTCAGGGGATTATACAAAACATTTAGATCCAGGCCCAAAATGTCAACAAGAAAAAGTAGTTTGATCAAACCTGTCTAGTTACTAGAACGCCCGCTCCAGTTACGGACAGAAGCAGATTTTGGGGGATTTTATAAGTTTAGAAACATACTCATGTGAGAAAAGAAGTAGCTTGACTTTCTACATATCAAAACCCAGAAGGACCCTCACCGACAACAGTTGTTGTTTCCACACATGAGAACCTCTCGCCCGCCGCAGCAGATTGTGCAGTAGGACTGATACCCATCGTCGTCGTACTGATAAGCACATTCTAGGAAGCAGTTCTGCAGAAGCACAGAGAAAGAAACATCAAAGTACCATGTTATCGTCATGAGAAGTGACTTTACTCCTCCTTGTCTTACCTTGCAGCCCTGACACATTCCTCCAGCAAACAGAGGATGCCCCAGGCCAACATTCAAACCCCCACAAGAGATGCAGATATCTGCATGAAGGAAAGCACATGTCAACATTTACCAGGCTGGGGTTAGAGAGGTGTGAACACTCAGAACTTCTGCAGCTTTGATGCATGTACTGCAGCCATAAACACGCTAGCTAGCATTAGTATAAACCAGAAAACCAGGATGATCTGAATCACAGAAAGGATTATTTAAACACAAATGCACACAGAGGAAACAGCACTTACCCTCGATGCTGCGGCACTTTTGTCTCACTTCATAGACAAGTCGCTCTGAGAGAAAGAAACGTTCATCAATAACGCCCACGACCAGAAAATGCTATAAAACAATAACCTACAGAAACACAACTGTGTGAAAGAACCGTAAGCCAAATGAGTTTCTACAGAGCTCCCACCTCGCGTTCTCTCATCGATGATATCCTTGACCTTGGGCTTCTCAGCTGTGCTTTTGCGAGGTTTTTTTGCAGGAGGAGGGGTGTAGGCTGCAGCTTCCGGTTCCACCCACATTTCAGGATAAACCTCCGAGTTACGCTCCTCTGGGGAGGACAGATCATTAAATTACAGAAGTCAATCTGAAAAACCGATGAGTAGAGGGAAAAGTTCTCATGCAGCACTCCCACGGGGTAATAATAAATAAATAAACAGAGGTTTGAAAAGCTAACATGGCCTAACCCTCGGGAGGCTGTAAGCCCCTGGGTCCGGTGGGCTGAAACCCGGTCATGGCCCACTCGATCATCTGCTTGTTCAACATTTCCACCGACTTGGAGGTTTCTGTTTCGTCGCTTTCAGGGCAGGTTATGAAGGATTTTCCTGCCCGGCTGCTGGCCACCTGCAAACACATGCAGCCTCATTATGCTCTACCTAGTGAAGCTTTATGATGGAAGGAATAGTCTGAAAGTTCTCACACTCACCTGCAGCACTTCATAGATGGCTTTTTTGTACATGGGCTGTTTGTTGTAAGTTGGTTGGTGAAAGGCATTACTGAAGGAGCTTAAAGGCATGAGTTTCTCTACACAGACCTGCAAAAATATACAAAATGATGAATATTATTTTTACAAATATGCCTTGCATTAAACTGTGTCTGCTTATTTAAGCCTGCTGTGTTTTTGCTCCTAAGCTCGTCGTAAAGCTTGCGGTTGTCTGTAAATGGGAGAGTGTTGCATGAAAAACCATGAGAACAATCACCTGACACAAATATTAATGTTGGCTCCAGAAACTCACCACTGAGAATTTTCCATCTCCAAACCACATGACCCATCTGGTTCCCTCAGCAGCTCTGCTCCGGCCCGTCATCCACCAGGACACGATGCGGCCTGGCCACCACGAGAATCCTCGCAGCTTCCCCCAAACCAGGTCGCCGATGCCAAAACCACGACCGTCCTGCAGCCAAAAACAAAACACACATCATCTACCTGCATTAACGTCTGACCACAGACGTGAAGTCTTTCCTAGCATCATATGTTGGGATATATTCTGCTTTAGAAAAATCTGATCAAATGACTTAACAAAACTATAACAAACAATCATTTGGCATCAAATAAAACAAAAAAATATATAAATTCATACACAGGAAGATGAACCCCAATAATTATTTTTATTAAAGTTTTGCCATTTCTCAGATATTTCATGACAAATGCCTAATCTGGGCAGAAAACACTAAAATATTATCACAACTTTGAATGCATGAAACAAAACATCACTTTCACTGCAAAAACTCTGGACATGTTATAGTTGCTGCTACAAAAACACAAGCTACAACTAAATATAAAAATATTATTTTCAAGCTGTTGACACAACACATTCTCACACCCAAGGCGTCAAAATATGATGCATGTGACCAAGCCTCATCATATGACGATTCGGGACGCCCCAGCGCGTCAGGAGACGACGATCAGGGACACGGTGGGTCACGTGGCTCTGCTGGCGTCACTGTTTGACGTGCGCGGTCACACGGACATTATTCGACTATTTAACCTTCCCCTAACCCCAATCCTAACCTTAAGCTCCATAAACTGTGACCTTAAGGTTAGGATTGGGGTTAGGGGAAGGTTAAATAGTTAACAAGTAGTTCTAATGTCCATCTCAGCACCAGCGTCGGATACCGACGCTCTGGGACATTACGTCAGCAGTTTGTCCCTGATCGTCATATCCTGACGCGCAGGGGCGTCCCGATTCGTCATATATTGAGGCTTGGTCCCACGCGTCATATTTGACGCCTTGGGTGAGAGAATGTGCTGGTTGACAACATGGTAGACCGGATCGCTAACGTTTTATAATACCTCATACTAGGGGTTGAATCAACTAGTCGACTTCTCTGCTCTGTAGTGACTTTTTGTGCCTGTCATCGACTAGTCGCTGTCACGTGATAATGACCGGCAAGATGCTGTCCTCGGAAAAGACAGCAGGTGACGAGCCCCTGCGCATCGGGAGGCAACACGCTGTGCCAGAGCGTCGGTACTGACACCCGCGGTAAAATGGACATTTGACTGAATTGTGACCTGTTCCCTCTTGCAATTTAACATTCCCCTCACCCCCATCCTAACCTTAACCAGCTTGCGCATGCAAAGCTCTGACTGTTGACGTGCTCCAGACATCTGCGTCCTGAGCACGGCCACAGTAACATTATCAAATCAGGTGTCACCACCTCAAAAACTAATTTAACACGCAATTGTTCATGTCGGCTCATTTCCTTTTAAGTTTTCTGTCTTTTATTTGTGCCTGATGCTTTTCGCTGCTGTGGAGCGAGGCACATCACCTGTTTTGTCCTTTGGTGACGCACCTCACTGATGCGGCCGGCGAGCAGCGAGCACTCAGCTGTTTTTGTGGTCGGTAGATCTTTTAGAACTGCAGTTCAAAGGTAACTCATAAGGTGAATATATATGAACCCAGGTAGCAGTTTCTCTTTAGGATTGAGAGGAGATGCAGGAAGATAATAAACAGGCAGGACAGAAAAACAGTCAAATAAAAACAAGTTAGTTTTTGTACCTGGTGGTTGCAACAAACAGACACCACTGAAGGTAATCAGAAGTGAGGAACAGAAAATGAAATAATTATTTTAATGTTTAGAGCAGCAGGAACTCCGAGAGGCTGCAGGCGCATCAGTAAGTTTGCGGTCGCTGCGCAGGGGGAGGGGGGAAGCAGGGGAACAGTAAAGATGCAGAAACTACCGTTGTTAAAAGAGACGTGTTTAACTTTGAAAATGTGGGGGCAATTTTAATTGTCAAAAACTCCAGCGAACCAACCGATCTTAGCACATGCTCACCGTTAGCATTGCTTACCCGAGCAAAAACAAGACGTTGGGCATTTAAAAGTTTCTCCAGAATACTAAATGGTTAAAGATGCACCAAGTTGAAATAAAATAGCTGTAGGCTTCCAGGCGTGTAAAAGGCTTTCATTTGGTTTGCAGTGTAATATGAGGCATGCAGCACACGGTCGTTTGTTATGGCCATCGCATCAGCGCTGGGTAAATCCTCCACAAAACTACATGGGTCATAACCTAAAGGAAGATGTTTTTGTCACGATCTCGCGTCCGTGCCAGCTCACTGAAAGCCTTAGTAAACTCGCTTTCATCCGTTGCGCTGTTTTGTAGTGGAACAAAACACTCCCTGTCCCCCATTTGGGTTTCGCATGACTGCAAAGTCACATGAGTAAAACCCAGCAATGAGAAAGCTCTAACCCCCCATCTTCAAACAAGGCTTTGAGACCAAGAAGTTCTCCGAAGGGAGCGTCAGCGTCCAATCCAGGCCATATGGCCGTCGTATGGGTGCCAAGTAAGAAACCAACCCATTCAAGTGTTTAAATACTAATAAAGATTAAAACAATTAGCTCTAAAGGTGACAGGTAACCAACGCAACACTGCCAGAATAAAAGTCATCATTTGGCAAGATGAGGATTTATATCTACCGCGACATTTCTACCTTTTTTTGCATGCATCAAGTTGCTCACTGCTCCATCTATTCTCCAGCTCTCAGGTGAAAGCGAATACAGCAGTCTGTGCTAACTGCAAGTTCTAAACAGCTCTCGTCTTGGAGAGTTGTGTTTTTGGCTTTTTAAATGCACACATGAAGCACTTAAGCATGGACAAACTGAGACGCTATGGTTCGTTTTGCAGGCTATGGAGCACATCTCAGTTAGGTAGCTGCACAAGCTTCAAAAGCGCACTCCATTGCTCAGGTGTCCCTTAAAGTGAGTGTCAAGAAACGGGTGGAGATGTACTTCATCCACACTTCCTGTTAGAAAAACGGTTCTGAAAGAGGCGTCGCCTAGCGGGCCGAGAGAGCGGCACTGAGGCGGTAATAGATCGATTACACATGTGCACAGCACCACTAGACACTCATCTATACCGGTTATCAGCAAAAAAAGTTCTCTCATGTAGCGTGTATTATTGTGAAATCATGTAAACACTGATAATGTGGTTAACTTCAATGATGAGAAAACAGAAACTATACTCAGGAGGATCTCACCTCATATTCAGGCTCAGCGTCTGCAGACTTGGGGGAGGCTTTGTCTTCCACTCCAATGGCGACGGGGTCGGGGGTGGTTGCCACCGTGGGGGAAGCTGGCTCAGTGGGCTGCTGCTGCTGCTGCTGGGGCAGACACGGCTGGGATTGCTGTTGATACGGAGGCCGGGACAGAGTCTGACTGTGCGGCTGAGGTTCAGGCTCCTGCTGTGGCGTTGAAGGCTGTGGGTGTTTGATTACTGAGACCTCCTCCTCCTGAGTCTTGGTTTGGTTCTGCTCTAGGTCCTTCATTGTGTTCATCACTGACATTACTTTGGCCTTTTTCTCTGCCTGAAACAAAACCCAGTAACAAGAGAATTGAGGACATGACGTATCAAGTCACTAAGTTTCCTTAGTTGCAATAAAAAAAAATTCTAGATTTAAAGACATTTCCCCCCCATAAATTAATCAAACAGGGCTGAACCAACCGTGAGTGACTGAGACATGACGTGTGTCCCAGCTTTCATGTTCAGGTGGCCTTTCAAGTCTCACAGACTAAATTTGTGGAAGCAAAACTTGATTTTGGCTTCAAATGAGTAGAAACACAGTGTAATCAACAAAATTATTAAAGTTTAGCGCAACAGCGGGAGAGGAGTTAAGTGCCCGGCTCAAAACTGGAAGGCTGCAGGTTTGCTCTCCACTCTGTTGCAGGTTTTTGTCCTTGAGCAATACACTTCACCCACTTTGTCTGCTGTGGGTGGTTGGAGGCAGCGCTAGCACTCAACCGGCGCACATCACACACTGTGCGTGGAGCACCAGTGGGACTGCTACTGCACATCCCCACCTGACGATCAGCTCAATGAGAGGGGCCGCAAATAGGACACTCGTGTGGCCGGCGCCGGGCCGGGTTGGAGGGGACAGTGACGTCCGTGTTTGGCAGCCTTGCCTCTGTCACTGAGTGTTCCAGGGCAGCTGTGGCTACAATGCAGCCCATCTCCACCAGAGTGTGCATGAGTGAGTGTCTTTTGTGTTTAAAGGTGCCTTCAGGGCCTTCTACTCTATGGTACCATAACGTTGGATTAACCCTCCCACCGTCCTAATGGGTGTGACCCCGCGAGGAAAGTTGACCTGAGGCGAGGTGGTGCTCACTCCTGCCACATGGACCTCAAGGGATAAACCATCAATCCTGCTCAATGGTCAACTTTCCTCGCGGGGTCACACCCATTAGGACGGTGGGAGGGTTAAAAGTCGACGCATATAAAGACGTCAAAATCACGTATAATGTGACCAAAACACGCCTCCATTACTGTCAGCAATGACCCACGTGCTCTGTGACATAGTGTCCAGCAACATTTTCCATTTGCTTTTAGTTCCCAGCATTGATGGTCCTGAAAAACGTAACTTTGCTATAATCTTGGACAGACTGACATGTTTTAGAGGATTAAAGTGACTGGAATCACTAAAGTAAGGCAGCGGCCAGAGGGAGGGACATAAAACCTTCATGCCATTGCACCTTCATCCTTTAGAGTTCTACCTTTTATCTTGACATTACGTTAATAATTACCATTGATAAAGTCAATTAGAAGCATTTTCAAATGCATTTAGAACACTGAAAAAGTGTTAGAAAGAATAGACAAGATCCCACCATTAGTTTTCATCAACACTGACTTCTGCTCGTGATAACCAACTTCATGATAGTTTGAGTTGATCTGAGCTTGATTAAAGTCATTTAACCCTCTGGAGTCAATCCACGCGTCGGCGCGTGAAGGCGCGCTGGGCGCATTACTCCCGTTATTATGGAACCAGGAAACTACTTAGCGTCATGATTACGGCTTGTTTTGACATAGGGAGCTTAAAACTAAATAAAAGTTATGACTTAAAATGGTTCTCCAAGTAAAAATGAGACATTTAAGGTAAATAATTCATGCAAAGATAAAGGTGCTTTTGTGCATTTGAACTGTGGCAGCTGCAGAGCAAAATCCTACAAACAGTGCTCTCCGTCAGCTCTCTCACTGCTTTTCACCGTAAGCTTGGACTCGAGAGTCAGGAAAAAAAAAAAACAAGACCAAGTTCATCCTAAAGGCGGAAGTACAAACCTAATCACCCAATCACAAAATCACATAAACTGGTGCTAGGTGTAGACAGGGAAAACTTCTGCTTCAGGGAGTGTGCTCGATGCTGCCTCCAGGTGGACAAAGTCAGGAAGGACACCCACTGGAGTTGAAAACCCTCTGATGTTCCCATGTGGGTTACTTTGAGACTTGGCACACAAACTATGGCTTTTGGTAATAACACCTTCTTCGTAATTACATGTATATAATGTAATTGTAAATATATGCATATCATTTTGTGGCTCGCTAAATCTGATCCTGTCGTCTGCAGGACATTATTGGAAGTAGCAGAAGTAGACAGAAAGTGTGGAACTCCATTTTCAGCATAACAGCAATTTCACATGAAAAATAGCATGTAACAGTAGTTTGCTACATTTAACCTTTTTTGTGTTTTACTCACCCTATAGTTTTATTCTGAGTGTGGAAAATGGTTCGTTACTAGAGCTGAGGAAAATAATCAAATAATCGATGCATCGGGATGCGGACATAAACGATTCTACATCGTTGAAGCGTACGCCATAACCGATTATAGTGGAATGTAGTTTTGTTTTTTAATGGCGGTACCAGCGCAGCATCCAAATCTGTCAGAGTAAGTGTCCTCCACATTTACCAAGTATTGTTCCGCCTTCATGTGGTACTGCAGGGCTGAGCGCTGGAGTTGTAACCTGAGACTGAACCAGAACCGAATCAGCCCGACCGGTTCTGTTGGATTTGGGCCGTGAATTATGTTAATTGAGCAGGTTGTCACGCAGCACACTCCGCTCGCTCACACAGCAAGTGAGTGAGTGAGTGGGGGAGGGGGGGAGGGGGGGGTCGGAGGACGCTCCTCCAAACCGATGCTCCAAACACGCATTATTATTTTCATAATTTCATTATTATTTCTCCTGGAAGCGCTCAGTCAGACCGAGTGTTGTGATGCTGGGAGATCCGGTCTTGAGGAGGGGGCGGGGTCGATGACAGCGGCTGCAGCGTGATCATCTGTCTTTTATTTAGGGACACGGAGAAGTTAAAAGGAGAGAGAAACAGAAGATAGAAGTTCTCGTTCCACTTTATTCTTTTGTTTCATGATGATGAACTGATGTTAAATTCAGCTTAAAGAGAAGTTTGGAGGAAGCGTTGGTTCATTTTAGGTTACAGGAGATCTTGTCTCCTGTCTGCTCCTCAGAGACAGCATGGACATGAGGGTCACATGGTGAGGGTCACAAAGGACAGGTTAGTGGAAAGGTTTGTAGTTAGCTGGTTAGTGAAGCTGATCCATCAGCTGGGTAATTTAATCCTAATCCAGCCCACAGCCTTCTGCTGGTGTTATCAGAAAGAATAAAACACACATCTTAAATATTATTGGAAGTGTAGAATTAGTTTTATGTTTTATTGTTTTCTGCATCAAACAGAACTTGATTCATTCTCCAACATTTCAGAAATGAACCGCTGGGTTCAAATAAAATAACAAACTAAGTCAAACATTTCATTTGGTGTCATTCTGACACCCTTCAACTGCGGCATAAATATTTTACTCTAAAGCTGCTCAGTGACATTAAACACTCATATATGAACCCATCACGTATTTTATTATTACATTATGTGTCCTGTAGGTTTTCAGTACTTTTTTAGATTTTGTGAGATTTTGCAAAGCGTGTTTTTCTCAGCCTGAGGCGTGGTGTTGAACAAGGAACCAGATTGTTTTACTTTGTTAAATCTTAAATGTTTAAAATGTTTTGTCCTAACCTGTTGTGAATGGAGAGCTTTTGAGTGATGGCAGGTGGTGTCAATTACGTTTTTGATAAAAATAAATAAATAAAAAGCAATTATCTGACATCTTCTATTTATCGATGAAAACAAATCAATATGAAATAATCGTGATGCATCGGGATATCGAATCGAATTGAATCGTTGACCCAATAATTGTAATCGAATCGAATCGGGAGACAAGTGATGATTCACACCTCTATTCGTTACAAATGTTGGTGGTTTTCACTGCAATAAATATGTAGTTTTTTTCTACTCTGATTTTGATTTTTATGTTTACTTTCAGGTTCAGTGTGCTAATACAGTATGACTAAAGGAAGAAATGACTCTAAATTCACTCAGGTGAGGATGTGCTGAAAAGAATGATAACAAACAAGAAAATATAAAGGTGAACACTAAAACCTGTTACAATGGCTTTTTAGACTACCTTTCATGTTCTGAGTTTCCCTCATGTGTCCCCTTGTGCTCTGTGTGTCCTTATACTTCCCCAGCCCACTCCAGGTTCTCCTCATGTGTCTCCTTGTGTTCCCCAGCTCTCTCTAGGCTTCCCTCATGTTTCCTCCTAGTCACTCCCTTGTGGTTCCTATTGGTTTGTTTTAGTCCTCCTCACCCCTCTAGTCATTAGTTGTTTATCTTTGCCCTTAGTCTTTAGGTTTAGTTATTTAGGTTATGGTTTATACCCCCCTCTGCTTAGTTCTTTCCCCATTTAGTTTATTGATGGCACCTGTCTCCCCTCCAGACCTCACTCCTCACACCTGTCACCTGTTCCCCTGATTGCTTCCCTCTGTGTTTAAAAACCCTGTCTTGTCCCTCAGTGTTTAATGGTCCATTGTCTTTGTCAGCGTTGTTCTGTCCTCCTCAGGAGCTCCAGGGTCTTGTTCACGAATGAGCTTTGTTTTTGTAGTTCAGTTTTTTCTAGCTTTTCGGTTTGGCTTCCTGCCCCTTTGGATATTTACCCATCATCCTAATAAAAGGACTTTCATTCATTCAACCGTTCCTGCCTGAGTTGTCTGGGCTTCCGCATTTTGGGTCCAAACCTCCTGCCCTCAACGTGCCACTACCGATTCCAGAGGGTTAATACATGGTGAGTTTATTTTTCCATAAATGAAAACTAGTAAAATGAACCAGAAATGGTATTTTTGCAACATTGCCACATTTACAACTAATAAGGTCCAACACTAATTTTAGTTTTGCATACAACATTTATACCCAAGTAAGTCACACAGCTCTGCCTACTACTGCATAGTAGGGCCTGCACGACTTTATTTTTTTTAAAGTCGACAGTCAAGTAATGAAAGTCGAGTCGACTTCGACTAGTCGTTGATGACGCCATACGCCGGAAGCGGGGGGGGGGGGGGGGGGGGGGGGGGGTCGGTCGGTAGGTTCGCTGGAGTTTTTGACAATTAAAATTGCGCCCACATTTTCTAAGTTAACACATCTCTTTTAATAACGGTAGTTTCTGCATCCTACTTCAGTCCTCTCCCCCCTCCCCCT